GTATTTCTAGTTTCGTGATTACTAAAAAGAAATCAGAAATTTATTTCCATCAAAAAAAAAAGTGTATGTATGCATGCTTAATTTTTGTTGTTCCTGACCCCTACACTTGAGAGTCTTGTTCGGGATGGTGTCTTTCTGCCTTTTTTTAGTTAAGCTCTACATTACTGTATATTCAGAGTACTGTAACAGGTGAGTTGTGGGAGTGGGTAGAGAGAGATGGCATAAAAGTGGGTATGGAGTTAGTGTGTGTACTCTTCAAGTGTAAATCTCGATATTGTACTTTCAAAATGAAGCTTGTTAATTTTTATCTCAAAGAATGTTTAGGCTGAAAAAAAAATAGTGATAGTGGTGACTACGATTTACTTCACATCTGTAAGATCTGGGGCTATCAGTAACTTGGTGAATTGGAAAAGTGATCATTTTGGTAGGCCTACATTTTTCTACTAAGGACCCAGGAATACTTTAATTTTTTTTAAACAGTAAAACTGTTAATGTCAGTACATATTTTCTCTTACTGGAAGTGGGTTGACTAGTTTACAGTTTTTTTAAAACAACTCTCCTAATTTGGAGTTTCTATAAGTTACTCATCTAAATAATTATTTTAGCTGGTTTTGAGTATGAATATTTCACTTTTTCCTTTCCCTAGTGAAGAACAGTCCAGACTAGCTGCAAGAAAATATGCTAGAGTTGTACAAAAGTTGGGTTTTCCAGCTAAGTTCTTAGACTTCAAGATCCAGAACATGGTGGGGAGCTGTGATGTGAAGTTCCCCATAAGGTTAGAAGGTCTTGTGCTGACCCACCAACAGTTCAGTAGGTAAGTCTGAGATGTATTATGATTGCTTTCGGCAAAAATGCATTTATAATCTATCTAAACATTGTTCATGAGAGAAATGCAGAATAATCAGTAGGAAAGAACTCATGATGTCATTGTAGACATATTTGTTATTTAAGTTTCTTCCCAAAATCTTTGGTAATAATGTTCTCACTAGCCTCCTACTTTCACATTCCCCTTTGTGGCATCCAAAGCTCCCTTTACTGGGAAGAGAGTGACTCTTCTTCTTTTATGCTTCATCCTGTTATTGATCAATAAACACATTTTAAATACAGAAATTAAACCCACAACCTCTTGTATCAATTTTTTCCTCAGCTGTTTGAATTTTTTCTTCTAGTCAACATTCTGTCAGATTTGCCAGCAAATTGTCAAGTTCAGTGATCCGATGTACTTTCTGTGTATTTTCCCTGTACTTCCTGGTGGAGACTCACCAGGCCCCTGCCCACCTCTCCACCTGCTCAGAGCACCCCCTGACTGATTTGGTGCCCCTGTCTCACACCATGGCCTTCTCACATCCTGCCTCTTCACCTGGCACACTTTCATTTCACACTCCACCTAGGAAACTCCCACTCATGTTTCAGATACCCACCCGGGCATCTCTTCCACAGAGAAGCCTATCCTGATTTTTCCACTTGGTTAGACACATACACATCCCATTTTCAATCTCTCTGAACTAGGAAAATGAGATTGCTAGGATCAGAACAGGGCACTCAGACCAGCAGAGCGTTTATCTGGACAGCACTGTCAGGCAAAAGCTAATTCTCCAGCCAGCGCCTTTTCCATCACTTGGGTCCCATTTCCTGCCCAAAGTCACAGCCAGTTTAAGGTGATGAGACTGGGATGATTAAAAGACACACTGTTACTACTAGAACTTACAAATAAGTGATAACTGGGCTCTTCTGAGTTGATAGACATACTTGTCCAGAGTGAAACCTGGTAAGTATCAGATACACATCAGGTAAGCATACAGAGAATAAATAGAGTTCTTATATCAGAAAATCCAAGCGCATGAGAAATGGAGTTGGTCAGCCTCACTGGCCTAAGTACGTTCTCCTTTGATGCTCCTTGAAGAATGGGCCTTCTCTTAATTTGCTGTCCATTTTGTATTTTCCCTTGTCCAGGTCCTCATTTTATCCAAAAACATGGGCAGCTTTTAATTTCTGAACTGTTTTTGCCATTTTTCTTCTAGTTATGAGCCAGAGTTATTTCCTGGTTTAATCTACAGAATGATCAAACCCAGAATTGTTCTCCTTATTTTTGTTTCTGGAAAAGTGGTATTAACAGGTAAGTTGTAACAGGAAGTAGTGTCTGCAGGTTTGAAAGGTTTATAAAGAGTGGCATCTTCTCTCTACTGAGGACGAAAAGTATTATCATAGTGTTGGGACAAGTGGCTCGCCACTTGTAGAGGATTTTGCCCTGTTCTCTCTTCTCTCCTGTCATCCTTACACTCTGATGAGAAACCCATCCACTAGAGGGAGTGAGGGGAGGGAAGTCAGCTCAGAGCTCTGCTAGGTCCTCTAGCTGGAGCATGTATGGTGGGGAGAGCAGGAAAGGGGAGCATTATATTGCATGTGAGATTGCATTTTAATTTGGAAATCATCCTGTAAGTCTTTGGGATTCATCAGCAGTATCATTTTGAGACTTGAACAAAGCATGATTCAGAGGAGCTTGGTTGAAGGCAGCAATTAGGAGAATAAGACTCAGCCACTCTTACTTACTGCTTCCCTGCTCAGTTCGTGCCCAGTGCAAGGACTGACAGCTGTCCCATGTGACTAGCTGCACAGAGGGACGCTGGAGTCACTTGGGACATTGCTTTTGTAACTTAAAAAAGCCATTTTAAGAAAATACTGCTGTAAAAACAAAAATAGAAGATTGTGACATGGGATTCCCTCATTAACATTTCAATTCCCTATCTTTTAGTCATATACAGAGAGAACTGTGCTTGCTGTTTTGTTTTAAAGTAATAATTTTACCTTCTTAATATGTTAAGAAATGCCATTTCAGACTCTCATGTCTATTCAAATTTTTCTTCATAGGTGCTAAAGTCAGGGCAGAGATTTATGAAGCATTTGAAAACATCTACCCAATTCTGAAGGGTTTCAGGAAGACGACGTAATGGCTGTTGTGTACCCCTCCCTCTCCCACCCAACTTGTTTTTTGTTTTTGTTTTTGTTTTTTAATAACAAATCAGTTTTGGTACATTTACATGGCGGTGTTGTGAATGGCCCTGATTTGGTGAGAAGATGGACTCTCAGTTGTGGGTCACAGCAGCAGGCGAAGCTCTCCTGCATGTGTCCCCTCAGGAGGCCAGGAAGGTCACCTCTGCAGAGAACACCCAGTGTTTCATCAGTTGCACACATGGTGCTGCTATTTGGGCAGCACTGCCCGTTTATTTATGTTTAGATTTTAAACACTCACTGCTGTTGAGAAGTTAGTTTAAGGGACAAAACTTTAAGTGTTAAAGCCACCTCTACAATTGATGGGACTTTTTAATTTCTTCCCCATAAACCAGTTTTTATATTTCTATCAGAAAAGTAAAAATGTTTTTTAAGAGTGTTGTTTTTCTAATTTGTAACTCCTAGGGGTTGTTTTTGTGCCAGACACATTCCGCCTTTTCAGTATTGCAGAACAGATGTATGAATGAAAATGAACGGCTGTACATATTTTCTTCCTTCAGAATACTCTGTACAATAAATGCTGTTTATAAAGTATTAGATTGATGTTATGATACTTTATAAGATTCAAGCGATAATACTGTTAAAAAAAAGGTGTATTTTAGATATAATGCCTAAAACCACTTAAGTGTGTGCTTGTTTCAGTCAGCATCTCGTGATGCAATGATGATGAACTCCTTGGAAATTTAACATTGCTTACAAAACATGTTTTATGTTCCATATACTGAGCACCTCCTGTTCCCCAGATACCTTGCCTGTAATTCTCACAAAGCCTGCAGTTTCCATAGAGGAAACTTAGGCCCCAGCTGAGGTGTTTTCCGCAGGTTATGTGGATCCTAAGTAGCAAAACCAAGCTGTCTGCCAGAGGCCTTGGTTGGTCAAGCTGGGGTGTGTCCAGATTGGTGGGGTTGGGGGGGAGGGGTGCTGTTTTCTTCATGATTTTTTTTTTGAGGTAGGTATTTTAAGTTCTTGTTTCAGTGTTTGGATGTGTGCTTTTCTTTTTACTTGTAAAGACATATTTTCAAATAGCTCAGAGGTGTCATCAGAAAGGAAAGGCCCCCAGGTCAACTTCCAGATGAGTGGTTATCTGTCAATCCCTTTTCTCTACAGATTTTTTTTGGGGTGCATTTGATTCCATTTGGGAAATAATACTAAAGCATATGTCCACTTTTCTCTGTGTATCATAAACATATTTCCATCATAAACATATTTCCATTATCGAGAACCTGATGGTGTCACAGACACATAGCATCATCTGTGTGTTCCTTTTTGTAGCTGACCTTTCCTTCATCATGGTCATTTGTTATCTGCAGTGTTTCTGGACTGTAAACACTGCTGTAGGGAATATCCTTACATGTGTATTTGTGTGCAAGCACAGGTGTTTCTGTAGTAGACATTCCTGGAAGAGGAATCCCTGCAGTAGAGAGCACACATTCCGAGTTTTGGCAGATCAATATCAGACTGAAGTACTGCAGGGAAGACTGCATGAACGGCTCTTTTTTTGCACTTGCCAATCTTCAGTGATCTCAGTAACACGGATTGACTGGAAAGACATGATTCCGGTATTATCCCCTTATGTCCAAAAAAGAAGTATGTCTCCTACACATGTAGGTCTTATGTGAGGTTCTTCAGTCAAGTTTTATAATTTTTTCATGTTGGCCTTTTACATTTCATCAGTTAATTCCTAAACATTTTATGATTCCTGTTATTAATGGGAGTTTTCCAGTTTAAAATTATTAACATATCTTATTCCCAATCCCTAAACTGAAAGCTGTAAAATACAGCTCACACAGGGAACCTAACAAAACAAGTATTTAGCACTATGTATTACTCAGAGGCAGGCACCCCTGCAACTCCACCAGAACCTTGCCATCCTAGAAGCCCCCTCATGCTCCATTATAGCCACAACCCCCATTCTCCCACACACCCATTCACCGTGACCATTATCCTGACATTAATAGTGATTACCTAAACACTAATAGAGAGTAATCTTGTTTAAAAAAATATTTTTTTTTATTCCTTAAAATTCTCCCTCCTCTTTTCCTTATGGTTTACAGGTGATCTGGGTTGTTTTTGTTGTTTTTAAGAACAAAAAACAAATTATCATTTTTTACTTATAAATTTAATTATACTCAATATTGCCAAGCATTTCTAAACACTTTCCAATTATCTTTTTTTTTTTTGGTATCAATCTATAATTATATGAGGAACATTATGTTTACTAGACTCCCCCCTTCACCAAGTACCCCCCACATACCCCATTAGTCACTGTCCATCAGCATAGTAAGATGCTGTAGACTCACTACTTGTCTTTGGGTTGTTTTTTATAGTCTGTTTTGCCATTTGCAAACTCATGGTGCACTTCAGCATGTTCCTCTGTTCTCCGTATTTCCTAGAGAGGGGTGGCTGCATCCAGAGGCTTGACCCCTTTGCAAAGCCTGAGTGGCATGTTCTGTTGTGAAGAATCAGCTGTCTGGTTGTCTCTCTTCTCATTCACCTATTAATTCATTAGTGCATTACAAATGATGATCTAATTCATTTTTTCATTGGAATACTTTATTATAAAGTGATATACTTTATATAGCAGGAAAATGCTGGTTTCTCTGAAAGTTTTCAAGATAAAATATCTCATGAGTTCACACTGATAAATCCAATTCAAATTCAGGACTGCAGGGGTTTTTGACCAGTTTTATATTATGGATTATCTTATACACTGAGAATCCTTAACTTTTAAAACAAGGGATGAGTTAGAATATCCCATAGTCATTTCCTTTCTCTCATACATCACGGCCTTAGAATGACAAGAGTACTACCACCCATATGATTATCAAAAACGTTTTTTTCAGCTATAATCTCTGAATCGTCAAAAGACGGTAAGACCAGCCTTCAACGTCTCAAGTAGGACAGGTGAATGTGTTGCTCCCTCAGCAGGGGTGAGGTGTCAGGCCAGACAGTGTCTGGGGGGATGATGGCATGCATGGATTGGCAATAGTAACTGACATTCTTTGCAGAAGCCATTGGGCAAGATGTATTGATCATTTTATGTTTTTAAATGTATTTGACATTTTTTAAAAACAACCAAGTTGCTTGTTATACTCCTTAAATTTTTTATTTTCTATTTTCAGTATAGTTGCAGTTATTTTCAGCTGTTGCTAGGTTGTTGTAGCATTTTCCTTCCACTGATTTGGACTAGTCTGTCTCCAAGTGAGAAGGTCCTGTGAACTCTTGCCATTAGCTTTGGAATCTGGCAGTGAAAGATGCCTGAAGGATAGCTTGGCTATTGCCACAATGCCTCCAACACTGTATGCATCGTTTGGGTCTGTCTCCAGGTGGACCCTGAGGAATGTGCTCCAACAATCCTTAGCAGTCAGGATGCTGGTCTGCTTTGGAAAACTGTTAACATTCCCTGACTAGTAATTACTCAATTTGGGATACGAAAGTCCCACTAGTCTGGTTTTCTAAGAGCCATTGAGCCTCTTACCAAGTGTGTGACTTGCCACCAGCTGATGCCAGCTTTTCATGTTGTGTCCTCTTGTACAGCACCAGCTGTCTCACAAGGTACAGGTGATTCTCATGGCACCAGCCTGAAAACCGTAACACCATTCTCTCCCTCTTTAAAAGCTGTATTTAAAAGTTAGCCTAGGCACAGGTCTGCCCATGGGAATTTCAAACTGGTTTCCCTTTTGGCGCTATGTGTAACTGTACTTTATATGCACATCTCTTTATGAATTACAAATACGTGATGGGTACTAACAGGCCAGGACCTTCTAATATAAAAACAGTAAAATAGGCAAGTTGTCAGTGATGTTAGTATGTTACCTCCAATAAGATGTGCTTATTTGCACTGGCAGAGTGTTTCTTGGTTATCAGAGGTGTATGGGAGGAGAAGCTGATGCAGACTGGAAATAATCATGAGAAAGTTATTGAATCAGTCGTTGGTTTTCAAACACTAGTCAACAGCACTGTCTCTAGGTTCTGCCTTAGAGCTGGGCAGAGATCACAGAGTTGAGAGAATTGGGAATTACTATAATTGCAAAATGACAGGAGTTGGAAAGAGCCTCAGCATAGGAAACAGCATAGATTTAGGACCCACTTGCATAAGAAGCAATATTCCACACCTGAGAGCTGAGCTCAGGGCTTTCCCTCAGGCTGCTGCCTCCTGTGCCAGTCTCCCTAGGGAAGTGTGATGGCCGACTCCCCATCTCCCTACCTGGGTTCACTTCCCATGTATACAGAGGAATAGACAGAGAGGGAGACCGCTGCCCTTGCCTCACAGTTGCCTTGTGCCATCAGCTGACCAAGGTCAATGCTTAAGTAGAGCTACTCTTCAAAATCAGATTTTCTGCTCACCTGCCAACTTTGCTGCTGCTTCAGACACACAGAGTCCCACTCATCACAACAGCCTAGTGGAGGTCAGAATTTTTTTCCACATTCCGGGCTTCCACATCTAATGGAGTCTGATAATTACCTAATTAATCAGACCAGTATCTTGGGGTTTTAACCAAATACTGCATCCTCTTTATTTTTGCAAATTTTAGGGGGAAAATGCTCGAAGTAGTGGTTTGACTTAATTAGGCACAAAATCCATTTTTACTATAGAAATATACATTTAAGTAAAAAGAACATTTTACTTATTCCCAGTTAACCAGTTCACACCTAATGTGTATCTTTCCAGATAAAATTCTGTGTACATATATGTGTATTTTCACAAAAATACTATGAATGCCTTGGTGTCAGTTTAGATCTCTGTCTTACCTGGTGTCCCAAAAACTGAATAGCCTTCCACTGTACAGATGACACCAAACTTTACATCATTTTATATTACTGGACATTTTGGTTTCACTAATATTTAGACATTGTAAACAAAGCCTACAACTACATCTCCGTACCTGTGTCTGGTATAATTATTTCCTTAGGACAAAGTCCTACAAATGGGAACACAAGGTCCAAGGGATCATGAGCATTTGTAAGGCTTTCCCATGGCATCGTCAGGGTGTGTCTGCTACATCCTGCTTCCAAACAAACTCCTCCGTGTAGCCTGTGCCCAGCCCACAGCTTTCAGCACAGGTGAAGATGGCCAGGACACCCCAGTCGACACTCCTCCCCAGTGTGTCAGCCTTCAGATAGCCGAGCAGCTGAGGCATCACCTGAGGAGAGGACGGCAGTTAGAGCCCTGCTTCCAGACACTGCTGCTCTCCACACCTCACCTGCACAATCACGGGTCCTGGACATCCCATCACCACCCTGCACAGCAGGGCTGTGGATGGCACACAGTTAACATATTTGGTCTAAAAATACTTTGCAAGTCTGGTTCTTCAAAGCCCCTTTCCACCTGCATTTGTTGTTTCTCTTTCCCATTTAAGATGTTCACAAGCATGAGACCAGCAGGTACCTTAATGGGAAAGAGCTCCCACTAATGTGAAATTGCTTTATACAAACACATTAATTAATGGAGCAAAAAAAGGATATTGCTTAACATTACAAAGATGGCAACAGAGGTACTAAAACAACAATGTGTGGAAGGTGGGGGAAGGTCTGGATGGTATAAGCCACTATATTTAAACCTTCCCTGCAGAAGTCAGTCAATGCGTAATACACCAAAACTATTAAACTGACAACTATAAGAAATAGCGTGTTATTTAGAGATAGAACCTGTCAGATAAAGCAGTAAAGGATAATTCCATTATGAATTTGGGCAGGAAACTGCTTATTTTCATTATAGGGCACCTTCTGTAATACATGGGCCCACATGTGTCTATTACTGTGGTGAAGTTTTTAACGTTTGAAAACATGAATCAGAGTGATTAGATATTACAACAGTCCTTATTAAAGGCCATACCTGGAATTCAAATATTCTTTTGGCACCACAGGGGCAATCTGGAATATCCTTTTCTTGAGGGACATTTTCACCAGAGATCCAGATGGGTGCAATCCCTCTGCCATATCTGAGAATCTAAAATCAAGGATCAGGTTCAAATCACCAGCATCTCTCCTAAGAGATTTCAGTGGTAGTACGCGACCCCAGGATCCTCTGGAGAAACGTGTGCACTCTCCCATGCCCCACAGAACTCTCTTGGAAGGCAGTGTGCCATTTCCCCTCCGACCTGGCATTGATAATGCCTTCTCCCAGCCACCAAACCAGGTACTTCAGTTTGTGTGACTCGGGGTAACAATTACATTTCTTAGATGGTAGTATGGTTAGAATCTGAGTATAATGAATTTTTTCTGAAGGGACTAACAATACTGTCTCCCCATTATTAGGTTCTGAATCCAAAAGGCAAAGTCTGTTATTACCTTCACATAGATATGATGAAGATAAAAATTTTTTTAAAAGGACAAATATGAAAGACCACCTTCTCAGTGTTTAGGGCCTAGAGCTATTCCTTCCCTGAGTGCCCTGGGTATCTGTCTGATCCAGTGACTGGTTTATGGGAATTTAGCAGAATTCTCTTTATTGACTTAGGTTTACGGTGAGAGAATTTAAGGGGAATAATGGTGGTGGAAGAGCAGAGACAAAAGGAAACATCTGAGCACTTTGTGTGCCTACAGTCTCCCTTAATCCTTTCAACCACCCTCTACTGTTCGCACCAGGCAGAGGTAATGACAGCAGAAGCTCATTACATAACTCAAGCGTCCCGGATTCTTCCCCAAAACAAAAATCCATTATTCTTTTCATAAAACCACAGTGCCTTTGGGTCAACATGCCATTTTGTTTGGCCAAACCAAATTTCCATGTTGGAGTAACAGGCAGAAATTTCTTTTTGCCACTGGTGTCTCAACTCCATGTATTTCTAGTAACATCTCACCCATCCTCTTATCTCTGATGCCCTTCTTAGAAAATGAATCCTGGAAGAGGAGCAGTACAACCTTTAGTCTTCTGGTGACCACTGAAAGGGTCACATGCAGAAACAAATTTCCCTGGGGATCATCAGTGTGAAGGGCCCCATGGAACAAGCTAGCCTTACTACAAAGGGCCATTCCTCTCAGGGGTTATACCCCTGAAACACCTCCTGGAAAGAACACAAGAAAGAGCTATATGAGGGCTCATTTACCTGTTCTGGCTCAAGGGCTACTTTACTTTTAAATTTCTGGAAAATTTTATCTTCCCTGGATTCATGTTTTGCAGTGGAATCCAATTCCTCCTCAGGTGCTTCATCTGAAACATCGTCAACATAATTATTATGGCAACGGGACTTGACAGCTCACACATGCTGAGGGAAGCCAGCTCCTGACAACCACCTCAGCGTGCAACAGATCTGACAGCGAGGCCTCATGTCTCACCGGCCTCAATGTGACTCGCTACAGTGGGACCTGTCAGACCACATGGACCCCCAGGTGCCCCATAAAGCATTGTTTATTGTGTGGGCTGCTGGTGATAACTTCTCTTCAAAGCTTCAAACTTAAAGAACAAACCAAATTCTGGGCTCAGGACTGTTGTGTTCAGCATGTGACAGGACACCCAACAAACAGGATCCCCTCCTGTCACTACTATCCTCAAGCCATGTGAACTTCCCAGCCGGTACTCTCATTCAGTCATGACATGCTCTCTGTGGACCTACAGATCCTTCTCCACACTGACCTGGAATCCCAGCCGTCTGAACTAGTGCTGTCCCCAGCAGGATTTAGTCTTAGTAACATGTACCAAAATATGTTTTTGATATCATCTGAGTACAAACAATAAACTAGTACACTGACATTCTATTTTAAAATCTAATTTTTTGGTGGTTAACAGCTCAAATTCCAGATAATATGTGAGCTCAAACTCCAATTCTAAAACTTACCAACTTTCATTACGAAACAAGTTACACCGAGAACGTCAAATTCTTCACTGCAGAATGAGGCTGTTTCTAATATACTGCACTGTTGTTGGGATATTAATGAGACCACACACACAGCCCTTGGTGTAGTTAGATAACTCAGTCTTTCAGGCGTCCTGTCAGACAGGCAGTGCTCTGAACATGGTCATCATTAGCAAAATCGTGCACCTAAAACTGGCCAGATGAGGACAAACTCCTGAATTAAAGGTCCCCTGCCACCTGCCCAACACTCCACTAGGCATTCTCATGTCCACGATCTCAGTGTGACAACCGGGTCCTTCCTCTGGCGTGTCTTTACAGGAGGAGCTAGAGTGTATCTGGCATTTCCACATAAGGCACCTGCAGCCCCCAACTGAACTGGCTGTTTCTCTCGGAGCTTCTTCTCTGGACATACTGAGCCCTTCCTTCCAAGCACTGCTCAGTGGATAGAGCTCTGAAAGTGATTCTTACCCATGCTCCCTGAAATCTCTGAGTCGTCTTCTTCCACAGCTTCAGGTTTAACTTCATCTTCTGTTTCTATTACGATCTCAAATTCTGGAAAAAGGAAGTTGTGGTCTGGAACTGTGCTGTCCAGATTGTCTGAAACAAAGTAGCATTATTGGTAAGCTAATTTCCTAAAGTATAATCCACGTAAGTTTTCCTAATAAATATGAATATAAAATGTATACACAGTAAGTATGTAATAATATATGTAGTTTCAGCATTCTCGGTCATAAATGAAATGCCTATTTTAAGGCGAGTCTGGGACATGACTGAGCAGGCAAGACCTCACAGCTCCTCTTAAATAAAGGTGTTCATGTCACCGGTTTCAAAAATTTTGGAAGTGAATCTACCTTTTCTAATTTTAACATTTATCCTCAAGATAAAAGATTTGGGTTTATAGACACTATGAAACTGCGCTGAATTATAAAAATAGAAGAATTGACTCACCAGATTCTGTACAAGCCTGCTTATGTCCCAATCTCCAGTCTAGAATCTGATGCTCCCTACTGCAGTAATGTGCCTTGTGACACCTGGAACATGTTTTGGGACCTAAACAGCCACAAACTCGGCAAAGGTGAGCGCCAGACTTGAGCTGTAGGCACACAGATTCTGTCGCTGGGGGAGGATCCTCAGAAGGTGGCTCATAGGAGTAAAAGTCATTTTTCCTGGGTAGCTGATTTCTAAAAACTAAGAGGAAGTAAGGAAAACGCTATAAACATTTACAATAAAACAACAAAGCAATTGCAATATTTAAACCTTCCTTCCACGCAGGATTGAACACTCATTTCTTAAGAGACAGAGAAGGCAGTTTTTGCTTTTGGGACGCTTACTTTCAGGAAATGGAAAAAAGTGAAAAGAAAAGTGAAGTGCAGCAAGCCTCCGTCTGGCACTGGTAACGGAGTCGGCTCTTTCAGACTGTTCTCGTTAATAAACGCCGAGACTCACGTCTGGGTGACCGCAGACCTGTGGGCGCCTGGGACCCAGCTCCCGCAGGAAGGACACTGATTCTGACCCAGCAAGACGCTGGGCGCCAGCGAGGGACCCTCACCGCGCAGACCGGCGCAGCACGGCGACGCCCGACAGCAGAAGACGAAGAGGCCGCGGTGGAAGGCGTCGGCGCGGCTGGGCACCGGCGCGTACAGCTGCAGCAGGAAGGCCAGCGGGCGGCCGCACAGCGCGCAGGCCAACTCCTTGGGCCCCGGCAACCCGGCTGCGCCCAGCCACGCCGGCCGCCCGCCCACCTTGCTGGGGAACTGCTCGCTGCGCAGCCGCCACGCGGGCGCCGCCTCCGCGAAGCCCAGCTCCACCGGCCCGCCGCGGGCGGCCGCCATGGGGTATGTCGACGGCTTCCGCCGCACCGCCGGCCGGGAGGGGTAGTGGGGTGCCGGAAGGCGCGGGGAATGGCGGGCCAGAGNCACAAGGTCCAAGGGATCATGAGCATTTGTAAGGCTTTCCCATGGCATCGTCAGGGTGTGTCTGCTACATCCTGCTTCCAAACAAACTCCTCCGTGTAGCCTGTGCCCAGCCCACAGCTTTCAGCACAGGTGAAGATGGCCAGGACACCCCAGTCGACACTCCTCCCCAGTGTGTCAGCCTTCAGATAGCCGAGCAGCTGAGGCATCACCTGAGGAGAGGACGGCAGTTAGAGCCCTGCTTCCAGACACTGCTGCTCTCCACACCTCACCTGCACAATCACGGGTCCTGGACATCCCATCACCACCCTGCACAGCAGGGCTGTGGATGGCACACAGTTAACATATTTGGTCTAAAAATACTTTGCAAGTCTGGTTCTTCAAAGCCCCTTTCCACCTGCATTTGTTGTTTCTCTTTCCCATTTAAGATGTTCACAAGCATGAGACCAGCAGGTACCTTAATGGGAAAGAGCTCCCACTAATGTGAAATTGCTTTATACAAACATATTAATTAATGGAGCAAAAAAAGAAGGATATTGCTTAACATTACAAAGATGGCAACAGAGGTACTAAAACAACAATGTGTGGAAGGTGGGGGAAGGTCTGGATGGTATAAGCCACTATATTTAAACCTTCCCTGCAGAAGTCAGTCAATGCGTAATACACCAAAACTATTAAACTGACAACTATAAGAAATAGCATGTTATTTAGAGATAGAACCTGTCAGATAAAGCAGTAAAGGATAATTCCATTATGAATTTGGGCAGGAAACTGCTTATTTTCATTATAGGGCACCTTCTGTAATACATGGGCCCACATGTGTCTATTACTATGGTGAAGTTTTTAACGTTTGAAAACATGAATCAGAGTGATTAGATATTACAACAGTCCTTATTAAAGGCCATACCTGGAATTCAAATATTCTTTTGGCACCACAGGGGCAATCTGGAATATCCTTTTCTTGAGGGACATTTTCACCAGAGATCCAGATGGGTGCAATCCCTCTGCCATATCTGAGAATCTAAAATCAAGGATCAGGTTCAAATCACCAGCATCTCTCCTAAGAGATTTCAGTGGTAGTACGCGACCCCAGGATCCTCTGGAGAAACGTGTGCGCTCTCCCATGCCCCACAGAACTCTCTTGGAAGGCAGTGTGCCATTTCCCCTCCGACCTGGCATTGATAATGCCTTCTCCCAGCCACCAAACCAGGTACTTCAGTTTGTGTGACTCGGGGTAACAATTACATTTCTTAGATGGTAGTATGGTTAGAATCTGAGTATAATGAATTTTTTCTGAAGGGACTAACAATACTGTCTCCCCATTATTAGGTTCTGAATCCAAAAGGCAAAGTCTGTTATTACCTTCACACAGATATGATGAGACTTAAAAATTTTTTTAAAAGGACAAATATGAAAGACCACCTTCTCAGTGTTTAGGGCCTAGAGCTATTCCTTCCCTGAGTGCCCTGGGTATCTGTCTGATCCAGTGACTGGTTTATGGGAATTTAGCAGAATTCTCTTTATTGACTTAGGTTTACGGTGAGAGA